AGAATAAAGATCCATATAGAAGGGCCACTTACGTCGGAAGCTTTGAAGTTTCTGCCCTCGCGCATGTCGCATTACGCATGTTGGCCGCCATTTTCCTAGCCAGTCAATGACATTTTCTGGCCAATAAACACGCTGTACTGGCTGGCTGCTCCGCCTTCTGGCCAGTAAACTGCATATTTTTGCATAAAAAAACGAGGACACGTTGCACCCCTGAGTGGCCCTTCTATATGGATCTTTATTCTATGCCTATGAACTAAAAGCAAATCACATGCTTTATTTTTGTCGCCCAACGTGTGGCAGCTGTATTCAAAGGCTAGGTCATGTTTAGGGTCTTTTCAATCTCGTTCCTAGAGTATGCCTGTTTGCGGGTGGGATCATGCCACTACCTAACCCGCGAACAGGCATACTCTGGGAACGAGATTGGGGTCTTTTCTAAGTTTTAAATTAAATTGTTGAATAGCCCATTCAGAGTGCAAAAAACTTTTAAGATTTAACCCACTAATGATCTTTAGTTACCCTTGGTGCCAGAGGTTCTTCCACGTGGATACATTGCAAGAGTGGAAGCAGGGGCGTAGCTAGAGAAGGGGGGCGGGGGGGAGTAACACTCCCATTCATCAGACTCTGCAAATGTTTGCTTGACTTGGCAAATTGTTTCCATAGTCAGCAAAAATATTGTGAGTGGCTCGGAATAAAAAGTAATAGTTATAGCAAAATTTTTCTAAATTTACAGAAAAAGTTGGCAGCACTCTCTACTTGACGAGTAAAATTGTCTGGCATTGGCAAGAGTAAAATACTAAAGTAAAGTGCATTAAAGAGCGGCTGCAAAGGAGACTACTTAAAAGGTTAATGGATTGAAAAGTTTGTGAAAAATGGTGTCCAGAAATTTTTTTCCCCTTCACCACCCACCCCAACCCGCCATATCAATTAGAGACTGAAATGTTGTCGGCAAATGCAATACTACCTCCCCACCCTCAAAAAACAAAGAAAAAACAAAGTTGGGTGAATAAAAAGATAGGCCAATTTTTAAATAGTTAACCCATTGAGTGGCAGCACTCTCCCCTTGGCAAGTAAAATTGTCTAGCATTAGAATAAAATAACAAAGTATGGCACTTTCTCACTTCCCGCATTTGCATGCCGCCCAATACTGCCTGGCTACTAAACCAGGTAATATAAACAAAATAGAAAAATACAACAACATCAATTCAGGAGTAAGAACATTTTATTGCAACTCAAAATTTTTAGTTCATTTGACGAATCAAAGCATTTATCTTTTCCTCACGGTTGCCAAAATCTCCACCCTCCACAAAATGATTCCTCTTTTTCCTCAAGCCTCCTGTTGGATTGGACAATTTGAAAGGCCAGAGGAAATTATTTGCCTCTTTGAAATGTGGACCGATTGTGAAAATTTCATGGATAAGATCTTCTATACAAATGATGCCAAATTTCCCAAGTTGTTGTTCGATGAGGGCGTTTTCTGTTATCGGGATTCGTTGCTTGTTGATTTTTACAAAACCACGTTTGTAGATCAACTCACGGACACTTTTCAGGTTCGGATAACTATGCAATAAAAATTATTTTTAATCCATTAAAACCCAACAAGTTTTCCCTTTGCAGTAAAATCATCTTGCATTAAACTGAGTAAAATATGCAATACTAAATCTATTATTTTATTAATAGTTATTTATTTGCTAAAATATATAACTGTTCATTGCATGGTTTATTCTCCTAGTCACTGTCACATAGTGACTCTAGGAGACACAAGGAATATGCAAAGTACTGCACCAAGCAGATATTTAGAATATCTGGGGTAGTTTTAATGTTCAACGTCATGGCTGGGAATATACCTCAAATCAAAGATATTCGGCTCCCATGTGCCATACAGACAGAGCCAGTGGAGGCTAATTCCGCTGGATGTCTACGTTGGAAATTGCTCCAATCATATCAGACATGTCTAATTTAAAAATTTAGCCGGTCTTTTTTCATTTTATATTGCCCTTTGGCATCAAAGCATTAACTTACCCAAAAGCAATGTAAGGTTGGATAATATTTAGCATGTTCAATGTAGCTTTGTTCAGTTTCACAAACACACCATTGTTGATCTGAAGAAGTCGGAAAAGTTGCAAGATTTTTCGCACTCTTGGACTTACACCATTTATACTAAAAACAAAAAATAGGAACAATGTCAATTGCAGCCCAAGCATACCAACGTTACAAATGGACTTACCCTCGGATTCGAATGACAAATGCAAGTTTCGCTTCTGCGGAAACATAAAAATTTCCAAACTGGTTTCCCATTCGTCGCAGCCGGATTTCATCTCGTTCCTTTTGCCTGTATTCCTTCACATACTGTTCAGCACGTTTGAAAATGACTTTTCGTTTATCTTTATTGGCCTACAATACAAAAGCAGACATCGTCAAGGCATATACGCATAGCTATCATCTAGGTCATATGAAATATTTGCATTATGGCGAGATTTTTATAGTTTAACTGTTCATTGCATGGTTTATTCTCCTAGTCATTGTCACATAGTGACTCTAGGAGACACAAGGAATATGCAAAGTACTGCACCAAGCAGATATTTAGAATATCTGGGGCAGTTTTAATGTTCAACGTCATGGCTGGGAATATACCTCAAATCAAAGATGTTAGGCTCCCATGTGCCATACAGACAGAGCCAGTGGAGGCTAATTCCGCTGGATGTCTACGTTGATATTAATGCTTGACTCACGTTGTGTTTTATGGTTCAGAAGTTACCCAAAGCAGCAAACTAATATTACCTTCTTCTGAGCAAGCAAGGCTTTAGCTCTGGAAGCTTTGATTTGTTCTAATCTTTTCCTTTTCTTGAGAACGGTTTCTGGAACAGTTGGCAATTTATTGCTAAACAAGTTTAACAACAATGAATACATCAAAATGGGTCATTCCAGAAAACATCCATACCACCCCCACGGAGGAAATAGGAAGTTAAGCCCCCTACCCCCTTTGGATGCCCTAATACATTTACTATTATCAGAAACAATTTTTTCTCCCCTCCCCCTCCGGACGGCAGAAATTTCCTCTGTGGGGGGAGTATGGATCTTTTTGGGAACGACCCAATGAAATAAGACAGTCTAGTACTAGTCATATAAAGCAGTATACTATGTAGTTAAATGACAACTGCAGATTATAGTGCTGTGCGCCGGAGTTATGGCCTATTTTGCTAGAGCTTGTTCAACTCTGGAAAAAACCTGAATCCATCAACGAAAAAGTAAATACTCTTATTGATACTGTGATCGTCGCTACCTACACTACCCGTTTGAGATTATATGTAGATTTGTCTTGCACACTAAGCAAAGCTATAGGGTTAACTGTTCATTGCATGGTTTATCCTCCTAGTCATTGTCACATAGTGACTCTAGGACACACAAGGAATATGCAAAGTACTGCACCAAGCAGATATTTAGAATATCTGGGGCAGTTTTAATGTTCAACGTCATGGCTGGGAATATACCTCAAATCAAAGATGTTCGGCTCCCATGTGCCATACAGACAGAGCCAGTGGAGGCTAATTCCGCTGGATGTCTACGTTGGAAAAGGCATGATTCTTGCAATATTGATAGTAGTGACTAGAGGGATGAATTCATCCCAGTTTAGGGTAGGAATCAGACTATTTACTGTACAAACTGGATTCCTCTCTGTAGCAACTTATTTCCCCCAAACCAAACGTGCATTTATATGGCAAAAATTGTTCCAAAATGTTTATGACTATTATAATAAAATACTTATCACAAAACAGATTTATCTAACTACATATAGCAATTTTAGACTAGTACTGATTGATTTAAATATCTACATATGCTACTTAAGACATACAATCAATAAAACTGAGCTTCATTCCATAAAATGTTTTCATTGGAAATACATGGTCAAAATACAATTGCAATTTTAACCAAGAAACATACAATTTCTTGTAAAAATACAACTTAAACTTGATAGAATGGTACTTAAACTACAAAAGCATAGCATTTTTAAAACGAAAAAGCTTTTCAAAATCCAAGGATGGACAGGATTAAATTGTAAAGTTCACTATTCACTACCTGGTCTCCATATTGTCCCAGCTAAAAGAGAACGTGATTGCTGAGCATCATGGGATATATAGGAAAGACGTAACTTCAGATCATATTGCGGTCAGTGAATCTCATTTCTTCACATTTTGACTCAAAAATATATATTTAAACTGATTTTTATTCTATACAAAGTTGAAAAATGAGTATCAAGTTACGTCTTTCACTCAAGAAGTATTATAGAATCGTACAAAAAGGTTTATTTTTGCAGAATTTTGGAGAAAAAATCATATTTTTCCTGAACGTGCATGTTTAGTTTACTACTCGCACGATGATTGGCTGCAAAGGAGCCAATCAAAATGTGGAATAGAAAGGAAGGATTGTATAGTTGCAAATTAACATGGCGACGTCAACAAGTGCAAAAGACGAAAATTGCGAAGCTGAAAAAGTCAAATCGAAAATAAGCATTTACCAAGAAGCTATTTACAGTAGGTAGGTAGAAAGGCCTGGTTTAAAAGTGCTTGTCTTAGCTATGTGCTATGTTTCTTTTTGTTTGCTTTGTAGGCAGTTGGATGGATTAATTTTGATAAACTTTTTTGCATTCTTCGTCGTAAGCTTCGTCGCTGGTTTATTGTTCCTGTATTCCACTGTGTCATTGTGGACTTTTCAGGTTTGTAAAGGCCAAGATTCTACTTTAAGCTCGAGTTAGAGCAATGTTTTGCCTTCTGTGGTTTTTAAAGCGATCTTGATAGCATGTATTGTAATTAAATTCAGGAAATTTGCCAATATATTAGATAATTAGAACGTTGAGAATGGAATGTTAAATTGCCAACACATTATTACTGAAATGACGATATTGGGTACACGTATATTTATTCTGTATGAGATCTAAAAAAGTTTTGAAAATGTACGAATTTAAGAGTGTAAAAAATACATTTTCCCGACCCCAATATCCGTCGATTGCATCGAACAATGAACAGTTGCATATAAAAAACATGTCTATTCAAATGTTGTCACGTGAGAGTAGAGAAGGTGTGTATATGGGATTGTTCATCCTCAGATTCAAGCAGCAGAATCTGTAGTCGATATATTGAGAATCCTTGACACATTAACTCATGGCATTTCTTATTATAGGTGTGTGAAGAAGTTGATTTATACGATGCAATAACGTTTGCTCCGCAACAACCACAGAACATTGTGAACATTGTGACTTATAATGCAAGTGCACCACTCTCGTTACACACTTGACGATTGCTACATCGCACACAAGTGATTGTTCTGTCAAGGGCTGTTTATTTGAGATAACATAGGCTACGTCCACACTAATCGGTTTTCGTAGCGTTTTCATATTGTTCTCCGCTCGCAAGGGAATAGAAAACAATGGCCTAGTCACCACAAACAATATGGATTAGTGTGGATGTAGGCACTGTGTCTCTCATATAAACAGCTTGATTGTGGACCAAATTTTTTCCTATGGAAATTTGTTATCTATCCAACAACATGTTCTGAACATGAATTGGGAATGTGGCTATTATTTATATTCATTAATATCATTACAATGTGCCAAAAATTAAAACAAGTAATGCTTAGGAAACTGAGTAGAGTAGACTTTGAGCATGGGTAGAGATGAGTAATCATGCACAAGGATTGAACTGTCTGAAAAGTAAAATATAAATGTCAAATTTTTTCAGTAAACTCATGTAGTACATGTACAGACAACATAGTTTACTCAATTTGTAAATACATAATGTATTTGTAGATTTTGCAATTAATATCTTGTTTTGAATAAAATTCAAATGTTTTGTTAAGTAGTGTGTTGTGGGGCTAGCAGACAATCATTCTGCAAAATTGAGTTCCTTACCTCAACTGGCAAGCCAGCGATCTAGTCCAGGATATGGCAAACAGATTGCAATTCAAAATAATCTAATATTTTTCTATAAAATCTTTACATTTTTATAATTATAATTGTTTACCAGATGACTTCCAAGTCATTCCACTTACAGTTTCAGAATGACCTTTCATAAATGGCAAACTAAGTTAATGAATTCTCTGTATTGGCATCCTTTCTCTCTGAAAATGTGTCAAAGTCTATTTATAGTAATGACATCATATCTTCAGAGAGAAGTTAACCTCAGCAACCTGTGACATTTGGGTCCTCCCCAGACCTCTTGGTAATGTTGAGTTTAACAATTTCTTCAGCACTGGTAGGGTGGATACCAATGGTACTGGAGAGTTGGTCATATGTGAGACCACAGCTACAATAAAAGATAAAATCACCACATTTATACTAAAGACACACCATCCATCTGATGGGTCATCAGTCTCAGTGCAAAAACAAGACACACTAGCTAGAATAGCGTGATCTATACTGGCAATCAGAGGTGGAAAAATAGACGAGATCGCAGGAAATGTTAAACAGCTGCAGGAGATTCATTTGAATAAAGATTTGCTATTGAAAATATGAAGGAAACCTTAACACCCATGTCCCACTATGGGCACAACAACATATGGTTGACAGACATTATTCCTTGAATTTAAAACCATGGTCAGCTAGAACACTATACGTTTATGCACATGCAGATTTAGCACAAAAATACTCCGTTGGTCTACAGGAAATTCTTGTCTCCAGGTTGTGCGCCCAGGAAGAAAATTCTTTTTTCCTGCCCTGCTGGCAATAGTTCTGGTAACAAATCATGCCTGATGCTAGTTTCCTTATAGTTCATCTGCATTTTGATTGTGGTTGTCAGGTTACATTATGGTGCATATTAACCAGGGTTTCTGTTAAGTTCATATACATTACCTCATTGCTGCAGCAAATCCCTGCATAACTTCTCCAGCGTGAGGTCCAAGAAAATGAAGACCCAAAACTGAATTGTTATTTCGGTCACAAACCGCCTGCAACGGAATATGTTTTACATTTCTTGTAAATCCTTCAAAGCTTAGAATTCACCCATGCAAAATATCTACTGTGATCACAGAAACTTTGATAGTGTAAACCAGTCTTAGGACGCTATAATATTTCAAGCTACCTTGATATAACATTGACTAGCATCCTTCTCTCCAACAGTATACTCCAATGGTTTGTAAAATGCATGATATACCTTACACAAGAAATCAATCAATTGATTTTATAATGAAAGACATACTTTAAATTGGTGACATGATAAAACAACTACAAGCATTTAAACGTATTGGTTAAAGACCTCGGTATTATCTTCTCCACACTTGCTCATGGCATCTTCTTCGGATAACCCTACTGAACTGTATTCTAACGGTGTGAATACTGTTGTTGGAATCTAAAGTGATATTGCAGAATAAATTATTTTACAGTAAGCTGTCTAAACTAATGGCAGCTTCATAGCCCTGTGACATACCTTGGTATAATCCATCATCTGATTTGAACCACCAAATATTCGTCTTGCAAGAAGTTTACCAGCCATTATTGCAACTGGTGTTAATTCTGGACGATTCTACGAGCGAAGAAAATAATCAACCTCACAGAAGTCTAACACTACACTAAACTAACTTTATTGATACTGGATAGTTCTATCAGTTCTAAACTGTCCTTCCTAGAGGTCCAGTAAGGATCATTTGGCATTTGAAAAGGGAGTTCTGGCATTTGAAAAGGGAGTTCTGGCATTTGAAAAGGGAGTTCTGGCATTTGAAAAGGGAGTTCTGGCATTTGAGAAAGGACTTCTGGCATTTGACATACATGTATAACATCTCCTATTCCATAGATATTAGCGACGGATGTTCGTTCTTTTTCATCAACAATAATTTTTTTGCTCTTTGGATCCATTTCTACGCCAGCTTTGTCCAGTTGTAAGAACGAGGTCTCCGGGTCTCGTCCTTGAAAATAGAATCAAAGAAGTGTTCTTATACATGTACACCAGTCTCATATCAGAGATTCACACGAGACCAGATCTATGAATTGGAAAGCTACCGGGAAATTCTTACGGTGCCATTTAATTCATGAATGAAGCGAGGGTGACTTCCTACCTATGGCAAACAGCACAGTGTCGAAAGAATCCTCGTGTGTTTCATCACTTTCTAAATTCCTCCACTCAACGTTCAGCTTTCCATCTTGTTGTTTCTCGATGGCTTTTGGAACTGAGCGCTCTATAAACTTCGTGCCATGGTCTCGCATGTTGGCTGCAATCAAGTCTCCCATTTGCTGAAAAGGAAATAAATACATGAACCGAAACTTCGTGGCACAATGGTTAGCATGTTGTATCTTTCATCTCTGTGACCGAGGTTTGATTCCTGCAATATGCAGTTGTCTCATTATAATTTCACCTCAGTCGAATCTAAGAAAATAAGTCCCAGTTCGACTCTAACAAACAACGCAGTTTTTTCCAGGTTTGTACTCTGGTGTTCTCCAGAAATAACACTTAACGAATATGGAATGAAATTTACTAGACCTCTAGGATGGCTTTATCAGTTCTTAACTATTCTCCCAGTATAAATAAAGTTAGTGAAGCTTACAGACCCACCTGGTCAAAGCCACGTAAATAAACAGAGCGAACCATGACTGACGTATCAAAACCAAGACCAGTTAAAAATCCAGCACATTCAAGAGCAACATCTGATGAATTTGAGTTAAGGCAAATTTTTGCGTGAAAGTTTGAGGACAATATCACGAATGTGATTAAATGTACTGTAAATGTCCTTCTTTCCTAATAGTTTGTTTATCTTTTCTGAAGTTACTATTCCCTGAGTTTGTTGTTTGGCGTTTATTTTCATTCCTCTTCTCCACTTCATTCGTTCTTTCCTTTCTTTTCTATTTATCTATCAGCTTTTATAATACTTTCATGTTCAATATAGTTTTAAATGGATACAAGAAGCACCAACAACAAGCCTGCAAAAATAAAGTAACACAAATTATTGTATTAATCAGTATTTTTTCTCCGTGAAACTTCTTTCAATACTTATACATAAGAAGTTTTTTCAAATTCTATATTCATTAAGCATTTTATTCCGCTCACGTTTTTCCAGGCGATTTGGAAAGTGAAAATATATCGTCACTCGAAACACCATGTTCACGAGCACCTGGTACCTTGAAAATAAAATATTATAAATGAAAATAAGAAATTTTCTTTATCGTAAAAATATCGCATATTCAACTTACGTTGTCTGGGTATCTTGGTCTTCCACCAACGGCTATTACAACATTTTCTGTTGTGATTATTGTCTAGATAAGCAACATGAAAATGTCCTTACAGAAACAGTTGTGTGAGAACAGAATGAGGAATCTTTTCTCAATCAAAACTTACTTCTTGACCATCTTTAGCAGTGGCTTTGATTGTGTGTTTATCCTGGAAGGATCCTTTCGCATTAAAATACTTTACACTCCTAAAAGAAACAAAAGGCATCCTTATTATTCCTTATAGGCGTAATATTAGTGAATAAAAGAGAGAAACGCAATGTATTGCAGCAGAAGATTTGTAAACAAATGGGGGCATACTCTCCTGGGAAAATTTGAAATCTAGAGTCTCTGAAATTGCATTTCCTGTGTTCTGTGGGGACGATTTGACATGTAGGAACTATATCTTCACAATTCTGTCAGTGAAGAATCTGACACCATTATATTAAATTATTCAACCCTTTGGAGGGGGGGGGGGGTAGCCACTTCTACTTTGGGGAGGGGGGCCTAGACCCCAGTTTTGCTGCTATGTTCAAATGTGTGCAGTGATCATACTTTTCCTGAAGTTGAACTCTGTGACCCCAGTTCAATGATCTCACATGATTTTGAACATTTTGTACCAGTGTTTCCCTACAATGAAAAATTAAATAAACTCAGATTAAGGTGGCTATCAACTGTATACTCTAACAGATATTAAGGTCACTAAGTCTCATTAAGGTGGCTCTCTGTAGTTTGTCAGAAGGCTTTATTAAGGTGGCTCTCTGTTGATTGCTTTAAAGCCTTATTAAGGTGGCTCTCTGTAGTTTATCAGAAGGCTTTATTAAGGTGGCTCTCTGTTGATTGCTTCAAAGTCTAATTAAGCTGGCTCACTGTAGATTACTTAAAATATCTACCATGAATGTGAAATTTCTCCTGAAATTGACCATCCATATTTGTCAGAGATCTAAACAACAAGTAAAAAAGTATGGAGGCTGGGATGTTTTCTGGAATGATTCAATAATTACATTGTCAATTTTTAAATTTATTTTCAACCTGTATTGCCTCTCCAAGCTGAGCAGCATGGTGCATTAACTTCTTAGGGATACATCCAACATTCACACATGTCCCACCAAGACCCCATGTTGTACCTAGTCAACAATTGTTATTAATAAAGGTTGTTTATCATAGAAACTGTTCAATTGAATAGATGCCAAGCTGGGAACCTGTACTGCTATTTCTGCACTAACCTTGTACAGAAGGTGAAACATAGTCTAGAACAGCGACTCTTTTTCCAAGCCCAGCTCCTTGAGAAAAATTCAAAACATTGAACACTTTTGTATTTATAAACTTACATTAAAATGCATAGTATAATATTTTCAAAGTATAAAATAAATACCTTCTTTTGCACAAGATAAACCACCAGACCCTCCGCCAATAACGACTAAATCATAATCATATTGCCCTAGAAACATTGGACACATTTTAAACACTCTATCAAAATTATACTGAAAATTCACTGTCTTTAAACACAGATTGCATCAAATTACCTGCATTAGAGCTTATTGTTTTTGTGTTATATTGTTGTAAATGGCGTCTTATAATGTCCAAACGTCGTAAATGTTTCATGGACAACATTTACAGCAATATTTGTTTGCAAAAAGTTTTGGAACAAGTCAACTTCACTCCTAGTCAGCCGCCATATTGAATTTTCCAACCATATGGTGCTACCACTTGGGAAGTTGATTTGTCCGAATACCGTCGTTGGCATCCAGAGGTTGGCATCTAAACACTCACATATATTAACATTGCTATTGTCACACGAAACTTTCATGTTTGCCAAAAGCAATTGACAGGTATTAATCTGATCTGATAATCATGCTTAACTAGCTTCACACTGGCTGGCCGAGCTAACTGAAAATTTCAAATGCTCGCTACAACTACGAAAGTAGACAATGTCAGTTATTTGTGGAGGTCCAATACAGGTCAGACCTGGACTGGACCTCCTCACAAATAACTGACCCTGTCATGCTTTATTTCTTCCGAGTTACTGCAGGAGGAAACTGTAGTTTTTGGAGAAAATCTGAGATGTTGATAGAGTCAAACCTACAAGGCATTCTTCTTACATGTGACTGAGGTGAAATTACATTCAGACAACTGTATATTGCAGGAATCAAAACCTCGTCACAAAGATGAAATTAAAGACACATGCAGTCAACTACAGTGCTAACAAAACCTAACAAGACCACAATTCAGCTTCATCCCATTTTTGTGAAACATTTCAACGTGATTCGCTTCAATGAGCACAATTTCTTCTTTGACTAAAACACCTGTAGCGTGCCGGATAACTACAGCAAACATGTCCTTATTACACTCGCGATAAATAAACGGTCGACGTTTGTTCAGATTTTCAAGATTTAATAGGTAAGAAATGGTTTAATGCAGCATTAATACTATAGAATGTCGTGTAGGAAAAGTAAAGAATAGTTAACGGTCTTGCTTTGTAGCTTAAATGTACAAAATTTGATATTTGTTACAAAGTTTACACATGGTTGAACAGTGACAAAACAATGATTCAGAGATAAATATTGATCAATTTTAATTCACTTTTGTGTTACTCGTCTGATGCAGGGGGAATAATGAACTCTCGTGTAGTTCGCTACTAACTTCACAACGAAGTGCCTTCCCTCGAAACGTCGAATTTCTCCTTGTATTTTTCATGTCGTTGTATTCCTCTGAAGCTTTATTATTATTGCTACTTCTGGCACAAATCATTCAAGCATAAAAATAGTGCCATCCAGTCATAATCCAGTGATCAGAATGTTCCACTGTCTTCTAATTGATTTGAAAATTCCACTGTTCTTCATGCCATCCAGGTCATGATACAGTGATCAGAATGTTCCATTGATTTGAAAATCACACTGTTCTCCATGCCATCCAGCGATCAAATGTTCCATTGTCCTATCATTGTTTTGAAAATCCCACTGTTCTCCACACCATCCCATCACTAATTTAACTTACTGTATTTGTGACTTGGCGCAATTATAGTGAAGCATATGTTTTCTTTCTTTTATGGTAGAAATAAGCCACCATAGTTAACCTTCAAGTCATTCTTGATGGGTGTTGGCGATGCAATTTGCAAGCTAATCTGGGCGATCATTTGGTTAATAATTCTGCTAATCATCGTTCTCCCCATTGGCTTCATATGCGCCATACTCTACGTGATCATCTCACCATTCACCGCTTGCTGCAACTGTGTCAACAGTCTCGCGGATTTCTTAGAAAAAGGAGTCAAATTTCCGAAAACTGCCGCAGGGAATATGGTTGATGGAAAACAAGGATGCTGAAATAATTTGTTACAAAATACGATTGATTAAAAAATATGAAAATTTTAAAAGAAATATAAAATCATTAAAAGAATATCGAGTCTATCTTAATTACAACATAACATCATTTAACTTTTAAGCCTATTAAATAACTAATATTGTCTGTATTGTTAAAAATGGACAATCAGAGCAAACTAGAAATTATCTATCAAAATTATTTCACATATAATATTTACAGTAAATTCAACAACTTGTGACAGCCTATAGGTTTTCTGAGCGCTCACGAACTTTCATGAAAAACTCGCCTTCCCACCATCGTCTGTCTTCATCATGGTTGCAACGGTGTTTGCTCACATTTCTCCTTGGTGAGTTAAGGTCAACTGTAAACTAAAGAAAAATGATATTTATTTAAAGTTCCATTCCGTTGCCCGTATAACTGTTCATGATGATCAACTTCAGAAATGTCAACAATTGTTGGAGCAAGAAAATTAAACTACATCTCTCCATTCTACTTATTTGTCTCTTATTTGGCTGTGGTGAAACTCAGCTATAACTTTGCGCATGCGCTGTGCTCATGAAATTAATTATATGCCGTAACAAACGAACAAAAACCGTAATAGTTGGCAAGAAAAAGTATGGTTGAAAAAACTAAATTATGAAAAATTTGCCAGAGTCAGTTCTCTTAAAGATATTTTCATATTTTCGGATCAGCGAGCTGGTTCGTGTATCCCGAGTGAATTCCGACTGGCGACGAATAGCTCACGACTGGCATTTATGGCAGACAGTGAACTTGGCAAAATATAGCAAGACTGTATCGGACTTAACTCTACGAAAATTGATCAGAAATGTGTTTCCTGTTAAACTGAGGTCCCTTAAGTTAACGAAGTTCAATGTATCGAGTGGTACGCTCCATGTATTGAGGAAAAATTGTCCTCGATTGAAGACACTTATACTAGAGTATGCGAATTTCCATGAAAGTTACAAGGAATTTCCAGAAATTGACTATTTTCCAAGAAACCTAAAGGAACTGAACATTGCCCAAAGCATTGGTCCGGCTAGCATTTATAGAAACATCACGAAAAGTTTAGAAACAGACACCTTAGAATGCCTGGCTGTCTGTGACCCGTTTCTAGAATTATTCTCAGAAAATACATCCACTTTTCTCAACTTTTTTCTCCGACAAAGGCTATCGCTAAAAGTCCTAGAATTCAGCATCTGTAAGGAACTCCGGGACAATTCATTAAAGCAGATCATGGCTTGTTGCAGAAATTTAAGATCGCTTTGCATCCGTCGTTGTCCAAACATTGGAGATGAATTTTTAAAATCAATTTTTGACATTTGTCCATATTTGCGTTCGCTAATTTTGAATGGAGCTATGATCAGAAGCGGCGTTCTTAAGGAGGTCAACTGGAGTCGTTGCCTTTTAGTTGAACTCGATCTATCTTGGTGTCGTCATATTACTGAGGAAGGGCTACTGCATACACTGCCCGCGTTAAACCGATTCCTGCGATACTTGCATGTCAGTTGCTGTGGCTACGGACATGCGCTGACAGACAAAGTGTTACAAGCCATGAGCCGAAAACCTTGGAGGTTTTTATATATACTTGATGTAAGCTATAGTTATGAGATCACTGACAGAGGGGTTGATGGCTTCTTACTGAAATGCCCTAATCTTTCTAAGATTTGTAAAGCTAATTGTCGTAATTTAGATAGGGTATGAAATAATTACCTCGTTCCAGGCTTAAACCTGACGGACTTGTGTATACTCGTCCCCAGTCCCACCGCTTCCAGAACGCTGAGGTCTTTTAGATGCTAGCCAAGCGTAAGCCTTGGGAAATAGAGCAAGGAAAGCTAGGAATCTCTCCTACAATAACCATATCAAAAGATTAGTTTTGTAAATCATTACAAATTGAATAAAATATTGTTTAAACTGGATAGCTACATCACCAGAACTACAAGAAATCTGTGATGTTTGGTAGAGTCAAACTGGAAACACTCTTCTCACATGGGACTGAGGTGAAATTATAATCAGACAACTGGATATTACAGGATTGGAACCTCAGTCACAGGGATGAAAGACACATGCACTAAAGACTGTGACACCAACACTCCTTCGTGTCTCTCGTTATAAAAATTTCGTAAGGACAAAGTTGAATTATTTGCAAATGACTTGCACCTTAGTAGTGTCCCAACATGATGGTTTCGCTTCCTCTTCACTCGCACTTGGAGTGTCTTTCTTCTTCTTCAACTGCCAAACAAAAAATTTTAAAGTTAGATATTTGACGTCTGATTCGTGTTTTGAAAGAGAAAAAGTTTTCAGACAAACCTCAGCAGCTGCAAGCAATGCCCCAGCGTCAGTCGCGCCCTTGTCTCCCCATTTTACCTGAAAAAACAAAGTGATCATACTCATTGCAAAATATACAAGAATGAACAAGATACTTCAAAGATCAAGAACAACTGGTGTACCAGCCTTGTAGGGACTTAGTGTCCTTTTGCTGTAGACCTGCCTTAAGAGTGAAGGCAAATTTTTAAAAATTAAAAAAAAAATTAAAAATAAAAAAAAAATAAAAATGAGAGATTATTCACACTGACCTTGACAGGTGTAATTCCTCCTATCCCTCCTCCACCATAGTAAGATGTGTCCACAGACGGCCATTTCTTTTTAGGCGGCCCCTAGATAACGAATTCATTACAAATTGACATAGACGAAGGGTGCATACTCTTTGAAATCAGGAGTCCCTGAAATGGCACTTCCCGCGTTGTGAGGAAAGCTTTTGGTGTGTAGAAACTATGTCATTTTGTTTGTTTCGCATTTTGTATTATCCAATTAACTTACCGTGCTAGATGTTGGTGAAACTGGCTCCTTCTTCGGCTAACAAAAAACGAAATTCTTGTGAATATGTGATTCTTGTTAAAAGTACAGATGAATCACCAAGTATAAATGAAGACAACTGACATTTACCTTGGGAAACAAGAGCAGCCAGATCCACCACAAGAGAATAAACAGCAGAAAGAAAAGAGCGAACAAAATTCCAACAATGAGACCTACATTCATCTTTTTCTTCACCTATAGACATTTCAGAAATCATTTAAAATCTGAGCGCCCTATTACAACAATTTTCTGAAAGGTTGTTGGCGTCCACAACAATCGTAAAGGCAGATTTACACCACACAACGTTTTGCCTAAAACTGTCGCTTGCAACCTGCTTACAACTTGAGTTACACTGTGTAAATCAAACACACAACTCGCCTCCGTTGTTGTAAATGAGTTGTGTGCTTGATTTATACAGTACAACTCAAGTTGTAAACAGGTTGCATACGATTAAGGTAGCCCAAACCTAATAAGCCTTATGGTTTCTATTGGGCTCCCCTGCCAAGTATGTAGTATTTTTTGTGTAATACTATTTCTTTATGGCAATAAATTCGATTTGATTCGATAATTTTAGGCAAAAGTTGTGTTGTGTAAATCGGGCTTAATGTTACGTTCACTACATACCGGAACACATGACGTCAAGGTTAGCTTCAAACTTCCCAATACTGTCTTATGATTGGACATCGTCACTTCAAACACAACGGTTCTGGAGGAAAATGAAGAATTCCAAATGTCAGAACTCAATCACAGCTAATCTGAGAAAGTTGACTGATCTCAAAGCAACGAAATCATAAATTGAAGAAAAGATAGATTTTCAAGAAAAAATTCACCTTCCAGTTTCCGAGAATACTGGTATCTGACATTCTACAGAAGACGGTGTGAGTGAAATCACCTCGGCTAGCACTATACAAAAAATAAAAAGTTTTAAACTTTACATTTCTAACTTCCCTTCGCTCGAAACGCCGAAGTTCTCATTGTATTTTTCAGATAGTTGTATCCCTAACAATCTGAAACTTTCTTATTATTGCCACTACCTACGCTGGCCGTTCAAGGCAATAATAATGGATCATACGAAGCCAACATGAAACGATGTCATGGTGTTATTACCTGCATGTGTTTTATTGTACACGATACGACAAGCCACGTTCGAGCGAGATTCGTCGGAATGGTGAGTGAGATGTTCACCAGAAATTGTGATCACCGACGTTTCTGAAGAAAGAAAATCGTTTGAAATACAACAACCACAACAACAACAACAACAACAACAACAACAACAACAACAACAGCGACAGCAACGACAACAACGACGACAACGACAACGATTACAACAGCATCCACTAACAGTAAAAACAATAAATTCTCCTTACCTCCGACACACAAAGTGGTTTGGTTGTCCATTTTAATACGCTATAAAAACAAAATATTATTTACGAAAATTTAATTTACTGGTCTGGCAAGGCAACAATACTCACAAAAAGGAATATATTTATAAACGAAATAAAGAAACCCACCGGTCGACAATTGATAGCCTGAATACTGACATCACTGGAAACGTATTTAATACTGTTTACAGAAACCTGGATATTCACTTTACTGAAAGAAAAATGTGCCGTATAAAGGTTTACACTATCAAAGTTTCTGTGATCACAGTAGGAATTTTGCATGGGTAAATTCTAAGTTTCGAAGGATTTGTAAGAATTGTTTGAGGAACCTGTCTCGGTGTTAAACACCAAGTCAGTTTCCTCAAACATTTCTTATAAATCCTTCAAAACTTTACCTGAATTTATCTATATGCACAATTCCTACTGTGATCACAGAAACTTTGATAGTGTAAATCTGGTTTAATTATCTGTATACATAACTGATTATTTAAAGATTCATAAAAATTAAAATCAATAAAAGCAAACCTTCCAGGACTGGGAATTGCGGGGCAGGAACATTTCATAACGGTGCTGCTAACGGACGTAGCCTCAGAGACTATAAGATACGAAATAAATTCATCAAGTAAGCGATTCATTCGAGCCTAAATTCGCACTAAGAATCACATACTCTGGTCTTTGTCGCCCAGTTTGAAGTTACAACGGACTTGGGAAATATTGTCAGTTTTTGTGAAACCATTTCCACGAAGAGTTACGTCGAAACGCTCTAGAAAGAAGAAAGTAAATGAAATACACACAAGCTGAACCTGCTTTGCTCATACTCAATAGCTCTATCACTTCTAAGCTTTCCTCCTTAAATGTCAGGAAGAATTATCCCTTCTCGGTCCAGTGTTACTACAGGAGCAAACCTAAACTAAACTAACTTTATTTATACTGGATAGCTCTATCAGTTCTAAACTGTTCTTCCTAGAGGTCCAGTAAGGATCATCTCTTATTGATCCAGTGTTACTAACAAGAGGAAACCTGAACTAAACTAACTTTGTTTATACTGGATAGCTCTATCAGTTCTAAACTGTTCTTCCTAGAGGTCCAGTAAGGATCAGTAAGGTCCAGTAAGGTTCTCCTTAGAGGTCCAGGTAATCCAACTTGGGATTTTCAGCTAAACTAACTTTATATACTGTATACTGGATAGCTCTGTCCCCATTGTGCTACCACCATTCCTAAAATACGAAGGCAATTATTTTCTACTCACCTCCAGCGCATATTTCTGCTGGATCTGCTGAAAGGACTTCGATGCAAGATTTCTTGATTATCTATAAGAAAGTTTTACCAGAAACAGTCAAAACGAACTCTAACGAGAAATCAATGCACGTAGAAATACCAATCACAACAACGTACAGAATCAATGATATTCTTCAAAGCATCGTAATTCTTTGCAACAAACACGTGATCTTCAGAAGGTTTATCTGCAATATTTTTTAACTATAAAGAAAAGAAAAAATAATGGAATCCATACAAGGATAAAGAAGCTATGAATAAAAAGAAGTTCACCTCCAGTTCGACATATTTGTCAACGCCAACGGCATAGACTGAAGCGCCCAGAATACGAGATATCCTTGCCTGAAGAATACAAGATATGGATTTTATTTCACACGTTTTATAGTATTACATCTACGAGGCGGCAAATTCGACGACGCAATTTCAGCTCAAGAATGAGTAAGTACTTTGATTACTGTAATAAATACTTGAAGCTTTTTAAAATAACGTTACAAACAGCTAGGTTGAGGAGAAACGATGTGTTTGCTATAAGGCTGACTTTATATGTAAGACATCTAACGTCGAAATAAGCTTTCACGTTGCTGCAAGGACGTGATGCTTAGCTTAACGTTGTTTTCAGAATGTCAACGTTGTTGAGGACACCACTGGGACCGGAAATTATTCATACTTTTTGTCTTGCAAGAAGACTGATTTCTTTGTTTTGAAGGCGCGTCGTTGACTTGCCGTGTCGTAGATCTTAAACTCTCTATTTTCATATGAAGATCCAGGCTTCAACAGGTTTGCATACGAAATAAACATTTCATCGCCACGCAAACTCACAACAAGAACGTTTGGATTCTTTGAATGTAAAAAGTATAATTCTGACCTCTTGAAATGTTTGAGATTTTCTGTTTCCTATCTGGCCATCCGTAAGAGCAATGATCACTCCTGCTGTTCTCTCCCCTAGAAAATTCCAAACTTAACTGTGAAGCTCATTAATTCATGCAGAAAACACAAAAGAAATCATGATTCCTGAAGGAGTTTGTATATCTGATACAACATCATGCCGAGTTACATAGTACCTACCTAGTCTCTCGATCTGATCATTCGCCTGGCAAAAACAAAATAAAAATTCTGAAATAAGTCTTATGAACAAGATATAACTTTCTTTGAATTGCTGTAAGAACTTACCTTTTTCAGCCCAAGATCCATGTAAGTATCACCACCAGTTTGCACTTTCCGAAGATTTTGTAAACCAGATTTTATTAAAGTTCTAGTTAATAGAAGATACATACACAATTATACACAAACAAACTAACGAGAGTCTCCCGAGGAGTCTGTGTTTCTGTTTCCTTGGAAATTTTTCCTTTATTCCACAAGCTTACATGTTTCCCGCTTGTCTTCTAAGATCTTTCTGGCTTTGGTCCGTCCAAAATATGCCTTGTTCCCAGTGGCGTAACGCTCATTAGGTAGGGTTAGTTAAAAAACTAAGGGCCCCCGACCGTTAGGGGCCCCCATCAACCACGGCCTACCACCCAGACTAAATTAGGAAACGTAAAAGATGCAGGTTAAGAATCAATGGGAAAATGCAAAATTCATAATGCAAAATTCATAATGCAAAATAATAAAGCCTCCATCGTCAATGGTAGAATGTTACTGTTATAGACATGGAATTTTTCAGAACATTCTATAGGTATTCAATATAAATATAATATCTCAGTCAAACAATGATAACAGTCAACAGGGGCCCCCACCAAATATACCTAAGGGTCCCCTCTTCCTCCGTTACGCCACTGCTTGTTCCCTGGAATCCCTTGGAGATCCTCACTAACAAGCATATCAACAAACTGTTATTTTGTGAAACAAACCATTTTACCTGTTATCCGTGAGTGGCAAATCAAGTTTAGCACCTGTTGAGAACGTTATAAAAGAGACCCGCAGCTGTGAGCTGTACGAGAAAACATAAAAAATATATTAAACTACAACTAAACTTTATCTATACTGGATAGCTCTGTCAAGTTCTTCCTAGAGGTCCAGTAAGGATCATCTCTTATTGATCCAGTGTTACTACAGGAGGAAACCTAAACTAAACTAACTTTATTTATACTGGATAGCTCTATCAGTTCTAAACTGTTCTCGAGGTCCAGTAAGGATCATCTCTTATTGATCCAGTGTTACAACAGGAGGAAACCTAAACTAAACTAACTTTATTTATACTGGATAGCTCTATCAGTTCTAAACTGTTCTACCTAGAGGTCCAGTAAGGATCATCTCTTATTGATCCAGTGTTACAACAGGAGGAAACCTAAACTAAACTAACTTTATTTATACTGGATAGCTCTATCAGTTCTAAATTGTTCTGGAGGTGTAAGGATCTCTTATTGATACAGTGTTGCTACAGGAGGAAACCAGAATACTTGGAGAAAACCACTATCAAGCAGTTAATGGATTAAACCATACCTCACGAAACTCGAAACAATTTTTTCCACAAATCCAACAGTCTGAATTTTGAAATTTTCAGATCGCACGCTTGAAGACCTGAAAGGGAGTTATCCAAAAATCTGCAAATTTATGTTTTTTAAAAGAACGCGAAAATTTATTTAGCCCGCAACCTCTATTTAGCCCCCCCCCCCCCTTTAATAAGCTCCTAGTCCAGAACCAGTGGGAAAAAGCCCCCAGGGGGTAAATAGAAGAAAGACGATAGCTTGTTCCACAATCGTGATAAAACACTTGAGACCGCTATGAGATCAAATGTCATATTAACGAGTGTTTCAAATTTGCATGGTTTCGCCCCTATTACCCCCCCCCCCAATTCAATGCCCTTTGTTCAAACATATACTTGGGTTATGTGACTATCCAATACTGTCAACATCTAGGGAAGGGAAGTGCAACACATTGCGCAATCTAATCGATGCCGACCCTGTTGCTACTAGACTAATTAGTTGATTTTTTTTCGTCTGTAATTTGTCACTAATTTTAACTAAAGGGCCCACAATACAAGTACACAATTTTACACAATACAAGTACACAATACAAGTACAACAATTCATATACACGAGACATAACAAGAGGCGGGACACCACAACAGTTTACACCAATTACTGTGGGCCCTTTAGTTAAAATTAGTGACAAATTACAGACGAAAAAAAATCAACTAATTAGTCTAGTAGCAACAGGGTCGGCATCGATTAGATTGCGCAATGTGTTGCACTTCCCTTCCCTATATGTTGACAGTATTGATAGCCACATAACCCGCATATGCTTTCGAACAAAGGCATTGAATTGGGGGTAATAGGGGCGAAACCATGCAAATTTGAAACACTCGTTAATATGACATTTGATCTCATAGCGGTCTCAAGTGTTTTATCACGATTGTGGAACAAGCTATCGTTTTTGTCAAGAGGAAGCTAAATAAATAAATAAAAAGGGCGTTGAAAGAAGAGTTATTCATTCGGGGAAAACTCGTAGAAACCGGTTTCTTGACAGGGTTTCGTTCCTGTTTTGACTTGAACTTGATCTGACGTCGCTATAGTAATGGGATATTGCTTCTCGAGATAATTGTCGAACAAAATGAGTTATATTAAAATATAAGAAGGAAGTAATTCATTAAAATCTATTTATAATCTTCGTAGGAAGGCACTAATCCACTCCAGCGGAGAATCATGCGGTGTTTGAGTCGAACACTCGAGTCAAACTACAACAACTCTTTTAAATGGAACAAACAACTAATTTAAGCGCACGAAATATTTTCGCAACGACTTGACGATTGTCTTGGAGGTCGCGCTGTGTTTCAATTCTATTTGAGAACCATCCTCTGTGAAACTCCACCAAGACTAGCGTCAGGTCGTCGCGACTTAAATTGGATAAGCCTGGCTACCACCACGAGTTGATGCGCATGCGTATCAAACTTATATATCAGAAAATGTTCAATCTACTTATAATCTTCATTTCAAATGGAAGCGTCGAGAATCTCTCACTGTTTTTCCTGCTGGGTTCAAGTGAAATTCGAGGTAAAGTGTAGGAATACATGCTGATGTATCAGACACGCGGATTTCGCTTCAAAACAGTTGGAATGACGTCATGACGTGATAGCCGACTGTGACACACTGTCTTGGCCAAGTTTAGAACTTGGGAGTTGGTTGCAAATAAATAGAATTGATAGATCAACTTAACGTGTAATATTTCCGGCTTAATAGCTTCAAACAAAAGGAAAATGATAGCGTTGACAGGTCATGTGAGTTGAAATTTATACTGGCAGGAACAATAGTCACTAATGGGGATAATACACGAGTCTAGTGTAGGTGAATATTCTACAATACGCTACCGTGCTTTGTGTCAGGTGTTTTCTAGAGTGTTTTTATACGATTCGTGAGGTAATTCCGATAGAAACGATGCCAGTTCGTTATGAAGGTCAAGCTAACTGATATTGTTCTCGATGGGATTAATTTACAATTGTTTGTTTGACGGAAGCCGAAAGGTCGGCAAAGATATAAATGTACATGTTTCTTGTTCAGTAGCCAAATATCAAAGCAAGTTTAGATTAGTGTTTTGCAGTGCCAGTCGTCTGCAAAGTCAATACGAAACTTCATCCAGGCATAATGCCAACTGTACTTTCCCACCAAATGTTTTTTCAACTGAAACCTAGTCACCGTCTTGACGCTATTCGTCGGCGGCATTTGAATACAAATGTGTGTAAGTGAGATTTCACTTTTCATTGAAGCAGCTAGCTAGCTGATCTACGTATTATCATAAAGCGTGTTTCACAATTTCAAGCGTATCGTAATGCAGCGTTTTATTTTACAGTGTTATCAGTTCTGCACGCGAGTATTCACGAAACACAGATATGTATCTAATTAGAAAAAGCAACAAATTAGAACAAGCAGCTAATTAGAATTAGCAACTAATTAGATCAAGCAGCTAATTGAAAGAAGCACGTCATTAGAACAAACATCTAATCAGAACTAATTCCTAATTAGTATTGGGCTATTCCGATTGGTTGCAACTGCCCGCAACAAACCAGCAGTTTACGATGATTCTTGGATCGCCGGCACGAAAAATACTTTAACTAAACTGTACCAAACCTATTTCTAACGCTCTCCTTACTCTTTCCTGATGATCGAAAGATGCTTTAAGACGCGTCAAAAAGCCTAATGAATCAATATTTGCAGACAATATTCAATATGCCTCAATTCAATTGTCCGTCTTTTAACACTGCTGCTATTTCGGGCTAAAACTGATACACGTCGAGTTGGTCTTCTATGATAACTTCGAGCGATAAAATCAGAAAATTTGTGCTAAAAATATTATTAATTGACCAATTCTCCAGACCTATAACTTTCTATGCCAGATGTCCTTAGTACAAGCGTAAAATATACCCAAATTGTACATAAAACGCATGTTTTGGATGCTAAAGTATGCAAATTGTATGCATAAACCATCTGTTGTGCCACACGTTTGTCACACGTTCGAGACAACGGCTTGGAACAAATTCAAAAGGTATAATATCAAAAGATAAGATAAGATATAAAACAGAAACTAGGGTTTGTTATTTTAAAAATCCGTCCGAACCAGATCTTGAGTGATATAAGCGACAATACAGACATATATGTTGGTCATGTTATGTTTGTTCCTAAGGTCGATTAGACACGCATGCTTCAAGCACATAGCGAGATTTATAGCTAGGCCTACAGCATCTGCATCGATCAAAGCCAATGCCGACATTTTCTAAGAAAATATTTCACATTTGCCTTGTGGTAGAAAACCGAAATTTTGAGAAATTTCGTAGGTCAAGTTGTTAGCAGTTAGGGCCTTACGCTTTGCTAGAAATTTCGAAACTCTAATGAGTTTGTTTACACAATATGAGCTGGTGAGAATCTAGCACAAAAGTTGAAAAGATGTGTTTTTAAAGACAGCGACATTGCGCTGAGAACCAACACTTTGTATTAGTTTGCGACAGTTTTAAATTGTACCGGTAACGGCGCCAGACGATTTGAAATGTGCAAAAAAATACAACTACGTCATGAGAAGTTGAGCACATTGACCCAAGCGTAAACATTGAATAAAAGTATCAAGTTAGAGAACGAAGTTCGTTAACTTACTTGTCTAGTACGAAGTACAGGTCGAAACCACCTCGACAGCGACTTGCAGAAGCCAGAGTAAGGAGAGCTAGAAAGCTGATGACAGTGAGAGCAAACTTCAGGTGAATCGTCGACATCTTTACGCCAGTACACTGAAGACGATAATTGCAGGAATATTTAATGCAATAATCTTTGCACAGAGTGGACTACTCAAGCGTTGAAAGTTGTCTGAAAAATAAGTTAATTGACAAACTATTATAAAATTGTGATGCGCAATACAATAACAAACTCATGCCAGAAACGTGTTATCACCAGGTACACACCTCCAGCCGCTTGACCTATAAGAGAGCAACCTTTGAATAATTAAAAGGCAATTTGCCAAATATCCAACGGTTTGGTATATTAGCTTTGGTTTGGTAGCGATCCAAAAATCATCACAGGCAGAACAAAGAGCGGTAGTGCAGACGTACAATTCCTTTGTGATGAACTCAAATATTTAGATAAACTTCGTTCAGGCAAATTGAATAACTTTTCAATCAAACGTCTGTCTGACCTCGATGTTGTAAACCAGCTGCCTTTTGTATAGCACAAATGTTCTGGAAAGTGCGAGACAGATATAAATAGAAGATTCTTCATATACACAAAGACCATGTACCTGACAACATACCCAATGACATATTTCACTGCACCATCTTCACGGATCAATCATGTTAATTAAACCTATCTTAACAAAAAACTTATACAAAAAGTTTTAGAACACTGCAATACGTAGTTGTCTGATTAAAATTTCGCCTCTGCCCTCTGGGAAGAACAGTTTAGAACTGATAGAGCTATCCAGTATAAATAAAGTTAGTTCAGTTTAGGTTTCCTCCTGCAGTAACACTGTCACTGGATCAATAAGAGATGATCCTTACAGGACCTCTAGGAAGAACAGTTTAGAACTGATAGAGTTATCCAGTATAAATAAAGTTAGTTTAGTTTAGGTTTCTTCCTGCAGTAACACTGGATCAATAAGAGATGATCCTTACTGGACCTCTAGGGAGAACAGTTTAGAACCGATAGAGCTATCCAGTATAAATAAAGTTAGTTTAGTTTAAGTTTCCTCCCGTAGTAACACTGGATCAATAAGAGATGATCCTTACTGGACCTCTAGGGAGAACAGTTTAGAACTGATAGAGCTATCCAGTATAAATAAAGTTAGTTTAGGTTTCCTCTTGTAGTAACATTGGATCAATAAGAGATGACTCTTACTAGACTTCTGGGAAGAAACGTTTAGAACCGATAGAGCTATCCAGTATAAATAAAGTTAGTTTAGTTCAGGTTTCCTCCTGTAGTAACACTGGATCAATAAAAGATGATCCTTACTGGACCTCTAGGAAGAACAGTTTAAACTGATAGAGCTATCCAGTATAAATAAAGTTAGTTTAGGTTTCCTCCTGTAGTAACACTGGATCAATAAGAGATGATCCTTACTGGACCTCTAGGAAGAACAGTTTAGAACTGACAGAAGTTCAGTTGGCAGAAGCTTCGCAAAGCAGTCTTGGGTATTTCCGTGTCGATGGGAAGAGCGGACGTCTCAGTGTAACCTTGACATTGTTATTAATTACAATTATGATTGATGCCAGATGCATGATGGTAAGGAAGTCATCAGTTGTTACAAATGAATCATTGTTTTAACTTCCTGTGATAGAACTGTTGATTCAGCCGTTCCGAGCAGACATGCTGCCTGGATCCACCATAAAAAATCTCAAAAACGTAATGTATTTCACCCTTTGTTTCGACACGATTGATATTTCGTATACTGCGTTTCATATTTGAACCTTTATACAGTATTTTTACAATTATATATTTCCATTATGTGTCTTAGCTGTTTTGAGCAATAAATTGTTTCAGATTGTTAGGTTATTGTATGCATTGGCATGAGTGTCTCAATACTCCAGCAGATTCTAATACAAAAACATATCTACTTTGTGACATTTAAAGTGCCTATATGCAAGAATTATTTTATGATTGAATTGCAAAGTTCATTTAAAATCATAACGTAACTGATTTTCTAAAACTTTGTTATCTTTCCTGTATGTCAAGATTTTCGACTTTGTTTGATTTGCAAATGTGACTTGAATGACGTCACACTGATGTCACACAAAGAAAACGTTTCCTTGCCAAACATGTGATAATTCCACTGACATGGAAAGTAGTATACTTTAAGAACTATCAAAGCTATCATTTCGTCTGCAAATTTGAGTTAATCACAACTTTATCAAGCTAAACAGTCTTCTGTAAAATACATTATGCAGTCACGTCATTTAAGTCATATTTGCATGCCAAACAAAGTCCGATATCTTGACATACAGGAAAGATAACAAAGTTTTAGAAACAAAGTTACATTATGATTTAAAAAATTAACTTTGCAATTCAATCATAAAAAATTCTCGCATAGCCACTTTAAAGACTGGGTTACATTTGGTTGTCATGACTACGTCGTGGTCGTCATGTATACTGATATGAAATCTTGAAAACCAGACCAATGACGTTGTAATTACAAGTTGTAACAAAACCTACATGTGACATTATACCTTGCTTGTTCTTCTATATTTTGACGAAGAAATCAATGGCGTAGCAGTAATAAGCAATCACCACCCAGCAACTTACTCCCCAAATATTCATCGCCAGTTTCTTGCTGTGCGTCGGGGGATGAAGCTCCCAGTTGAAGGGAAAGTAAAAATGTAGAACCCCGTGACCACAGTACACTAAGATTGAGTTCATTCCTAAGAATTAGCAAATATTCATGAGTTTCAATAAGCGGTAAGCCCTGGCCAGCAAGTTTTCCTTCACAAGTTTCCTTTGCTCGTGCGGTTGTTCCAAAACTAGTCATGCCCGTCACCAATTTTTTTTCGCATTCGGACATATCATAATTTTTCAGAGAATACACAAATTATTTCCCCACATATCATAATTTTTTCCGAAATTACATAAATTTTTCCCTACATAGCATAATTTTTAATTCCAAGCCACTCAAATATTTTCGCTCAGCACGAAAACAATTTTCCGATATATCCGAAAAATGTCTGCCGATTCTAACTCGGCAAATGTCTGCCGATTCTAGCAGACATTTGGCGAGTCAAGCAGACATTTGCCGACTCTAACCCCCCCCCCCCCCTCCTCTAGCTACGCCCCTGAATACAAGTAGAACTTGAACGTTGCGAGGCCGTCCAGAACACAAAGTTTCAAAATCTTACCGGGGAAGATAAACGGTGTCCCATTCCACCATTTCTTGTCGTCAATCGTGAAGTAACAAAAGGCCAACAGAATGAACGCCAGTGAACCATTTGTGAGGATAAACGACACTGACCTAAGAAATAACAAACATTGAAATAAATATAGAATATTGAAATGTGTTTTTAATGGAAAATGCCATACCATAGATTTTTGTTCACTGGAATCAGACCCCCGTTCTTGGAAGCACCACATAAACCGGTGGCTATAAAACCCTAAAAAGATATAGAGAATAATACATGGGTGCTTGGAAATACCAGATTTATTTCTCGTGTTGAACATGATATCTCACGAGTGAGCGCATCTGTTTATTATATATACAAAATTCAGTGAAAAACAATAAAACGTCCGTGGCAATGCGTTTTACAGCAAATAATATTTTCACACGTAAAAATATCGTATTTTTTACGTGTGTTTAAATATGATTTTTCTCAGTGGCCAAAAACTCTATATAACACTTATGTTTATATAATAAAATAAGTTATTCAATGTAAAAATTCATTAATAAATCATGAGGAAAAGACAAAGGAAATCACTGATGTGTCGGTGGTTAAATTACTTCGTCAATGAACTCATAAGATGGGTCGTTTTTTAAGCCATTTACAACGCTCACAGTCCGTGCCTTAATCAGATATAAAACACTCGGCTGTCGGCAACGTTCTTATTTTTGAGATAGTTTTCCATGCTTCCCCAAAAGTTCTATAATAACTATGTGTTACCAGTATAAGACCCCAGGATATTAAACGTCTCTCTCGTTCAATGTGGTCAGCGTGATTAACAATGATTTTCCCAGCTTGCAGACCAAGGAATGTTAAAAATGCTGACGTCACCGCACCCAGTGCGCCCTCAGGATCGTACGGTACGGTGCTCAGGTACAACTTCTAAAATATCAAAGATTGGATTAAATTTTATTTTTGTGATAGATCAAACGTTAAGCTAAGGGTGTTGGTGGTGTCTTTCATCTCTGTGGCCACTGATTCCCGAAATATGCAGTTGTTAGTTTAGCTGAAAAACCCAAGATGGATTACCTTTGAAGTCGGATGTCCATAAATATGATTCTCACCAAACAGTTTGCTATCAATGTACCCTGCCATCCCTCCTGTGCAGTTCTCAGCTTCTGGATATCCCTCACCTATCCCTCCAGGTCCAACATATCCCCTAGAAAACAAAAAGGCCTAGATAAACTATCCAGAATAGCCTTATCTACACTGGAAATTGTTTCGGAAACAAATCATGTCTGATATTTCGTTGGTTAGCTTTGTTTCATTCATAGAGGATATTACACGGCGGTGCGAAGATATGATTTTTATCTTCGAGTGGTGAAAACAATTTTTTACGAACGAGCGCAGAGAGTGAGTAAAATATTGTTTTTAACACGAGGAGATAAAAGTCATATCTTCAAGCCACCGTGTAATGTTCTGTTTATTATATAGCCCAAGCAAAAAATTGTGAAATTTCACGCTGGAAAGCAAATTGTCAAATTGTCACGTGATCGATATTTTCACTAGTGAAGATATGGAAAATATCTCACTGTGTATTTGTCAGTATCTCACTCTCTACATAATAATATGCTTTATCAGAACAAGTAACTTGGCATGCATGTAAGTTATTGTATCTGAAAATGTGGATTCGCTGGGTATAAAATGTGTTATCTGATGAAGATATACATACGTGGGACAGCCTGGTACGGGAATAGCGTATGTTAAAACACAGTAAATCGTGACAAGTACAAACATCACAACCCATTCTTTCCACAGTTCAATCACTTCACGAATTGTGAACCACCAAACGCTCTAGAAAGGAAAATTGGGTCATTAAACCTTATAACACAGTGAGCGTAAATAAGGCACTCCAGTTGTTCTTACCTGAGGTGCGAGTTCAGTTGAATGACGTAGAAACAATTCTAGTGAGGCCACAACGAAATAGGAGAATGCAAATCTCTGGAGAACTCCAGGAATACGGTAGAAGTTTAAGTCTGTGCCTGAGTGGATAAACATTTTATATAGAGTTAAAACTAAACACTGGATAGCTCTTTCAGTTCTAAACTGTTCTCCCTAGAGGTCAAGTAAGGATAATCTCTTAATTGATCCAGTGTTACTACAGGAGGAAACCTAAACTAAACTAATTTTATTTATACTGTCCAGATAGCTCTATCAGTTCTAAACTGTTCTTCCCAGAGATCCAGCAAGGATAATCTCTTATTGATCCAGTGTTACTACAGGAGGAAATTTAAACTAAACTAACTTTATTTACACTGGATAGCTCTATCAGTTCTAAACTGTTCTTCCCAGAGATCCAGCAAGGATAATCTCTTATTGATCCAGTGTTACTACAGGAGGAAATCTAAACTAAACTAACTTTATTTATACTGGATAGCTTTGTCAGTTCTAAACTGTACTCCCTGAGAGGTATGAGCCAGGCATCTTTATTTTCCAGAGAGAATCTGTGATGTTTGGTAGAGTCAAACTGGAAGCATTCGTCTCACATGTGACTGAAGTGAAATTATAATCAGACAACTGCATATTGCAGGAATCAGACGTCGGTCACAGAGCCGCCGCTGAAAGACAGAAGTCAAGCGACTGTGTATCTAATTTACCTTTATTCAACAGCAAACCAAGGGCGAACAGAATGAATGTACGTCGTATTATTTTTATAAAAATACGAATCTTTCCAACACCTTTTTGACGCAAACTTCGAAATGAAATTGCCAACGAAACTCCCATGATAAAAATAAACCTACAAAATACGTGTGAAGATTACGTAGAGTAAATATACAGTTGCTATAACAGATTGGTTTTTATGTTAACTCTTTTCATCATTTCACCTCTGAGTTCGTGGGTTTGATTCTCGCTATGGACTCATGTGAAAAGAGTCGGTCAACGCTCTGCCGAAAGTCGTGGGTTTTCTCCGAGTGCTCTGGTTTCCTCTCACAGGGAAAGTTGACAGGGTGGGTTAGGATAAACACAGTTAAGAAAGTAATATCACAATGGACCAATCCCCAATTAACCAAAATTTTGAACTCAACAAGTCTAGACAAAATTTCATCACAGAATGAAAGAGCATCACAAAATTAGTAATATTCCAAAGTTTCGTTGTAAAATGTTGTAAAATGTGGATAATATAGCCTTGCGAAGTTTGTAATTTTCAGTCATTTTGTATTACGCACGGAAGTGGTAACCATTTCCCGTTTGTAATCTAAAATGATTGAAAATTGCAAACTTCGCAAGGCTATATTATCCGCATTTTACAACATTTTAAGACGAAACTTTGGAATATTACTAATTTTGTGATGCTCTTTCAAGCTGTGATGAAATTTTTCTCTAGACTTGTTGAGTTCAAAATGTTGGTTAATTGGGGATTGGTCCATTGTGATTTGTGGTAAAGATAAAATAGTCTAGGTTAAGTATGTAATTAGGTAAGCGTAATACTCGATGTAAAGCGCATTTGATCGTATCCACATATGGAAATCTGCGCTATAGAAATGTTAATTGTAATCCGTAATCATACTGTAGTAGTCTTGCAAGTGCATGTATTTGGAGGAAAATAAATAGAATTGAGAGATGTGGTTTAATTTTCTTTCTCTAAAAGTGTCAACATTTCTGAATTAGTTGACAACCATCTCTGTCCTGTAACGCTCACTGAAACAGTATACAAGCTTACCAAGGAAACACAAGATCCGCTACTGTTAAACCTGCAAATAAAATGTAATATGCTCATCAATAATTCAAGCAAACAAAAATGGAATGAGCATGCTATCGTTGTCTTGGTATCACCGTAACAAACGTCAATGAAATGAATTTTAATGGGTTTTCAAGTAATTCTAATGGGTTTTTATTAGCATTATCTTCCATGTTGAATAAAAGAAAGAAACCTACCGTTCCATTTTGAATGTTCAAAAAACCAGTACCCTCCTCCACCAAAGTTCACAAACACCATTAAAGTCAACGATAAACTGTAAAGATTCAAAATATAAACACAAACAACATTCAACATCTTCACTGTAGAAATATTATTAATAATAAGTAACTTTTAATAGAGCTTAGAAGTGCTTACAATATTATGTCAATAATTCATTCTTTCATAATTACGTTTTACTTATTAAACTAACTTAATTACCCTCTGAAAGCATCCAGTGACTGCAATCGTTTCTTTGCAGGCTAAATTTTAAAGCAAATGACTGTTATGGTATTTATTTCAATGCAAACATTCAGACAGTAGACTTGAACAGTTTACACCTGATAAAGAGTTTACAACATTTAGATATTTTTACATTGCAGTAAGTTTAATACCTGTGTGACTGTTTCAGTAGTGTGTGTTTGACTATCACGACCCAAATCCTTAAAAACAAACTTTAAAATTACGTAATGGTTAACAAAATGTTCGCTTGCTATTTGCTCTTGAATCAAATGTTATCTACATGATAAACTACGTCACACTCACCGAGGCCAAGTGCGAGTTGGAATAGACAACAGGGTTGAAACTTTTCAGATATGTTCTACAAGGAAAGCAAATGAAAGTAATTTAAGCCGTTGCTCAAAACGTTTTATTTTTCAGTTTGTTGAATCCCTATCAATCCAAAGCTTTCTGGTAACACTGAGTTTACCTTCTAATCCATTTGATGAACAATACTAACAGAACTAAACCAAACAGTATGGCAGCAGCGACCAAAATGGCTGAGAAAAAGAAACCCAAAAGAAAAAATGAAACCCAAAAGAAAAAAACAAGAAATAACAAACAAAACTAAACAAATCATACAAAGGAGTTGCCTGCACTTTTTCATGACCAACATACTTACGTATATTACTGTTGACAGGTTTTTTATTCACAACCATTGCACAGCAAAGATCAGTCATATTCTTGATTACATCAAACTTTGCTTCATACAAGTAGTGCCCAGATTCTCCAAAATGAAATGTTATACTGCAGTTCTTCAAAATGTCCCGACTTGCATGAACAAAAAGCCGAAATGGCCATCTTGTGTCCATTATAAAACCTTGTGTGTTGTTGTAGTAAGAAACTTGCTCTAACTGTTGGAGAGGACACTATAGAATATACATGAATACTAAATTGAATTGAGAGACATAGTTAATTTTCTTGCTCCTAAAAGAGATAACATTTGTGTAGTTTACCATCATCAGGCGTCTACACTCCTACAGTACCTACTGAAGTCCACCAATATATAAATTATTAAAATGAAAATACACATTTACTCACTTTATAGCAGTTATCAGAAACACCAGACACCACTAGGAATTCTTTAACTAATATATGATCCACTGATTTCACCTTCAGGTAAGCCTCGTCCATGCCAAGCTTAACATCACGGGAACTAAAAAACATGCATGTTTAGAGACACAAAACGTCTTAAATTTCTCTACGTATTTTTCTACCTGTCTTGCTGTGGAGAACTTGAGAATGGAGAGGAAAAAGCTTGGATCGCATCAGCATCAATTCCTAACACAGATCTTATGCCAACAAGGAAACCATTCCCTATAAATTTATCATTTTTATTAGTAGTACATAGGGGTGGGTTTCGCTATAGCACTATCGTGCAGCGGATGGTGGTCAACATGCTGTTATCAGAGTGTGATTAATACTTTTTGTGATATGTAGTACTCTTGTATTTTGGGGAAAATAAATAGAATTGAGAGATGTACTTTCACTTTTTTGCTTCTATAAATGTCAAAATTTCTGAAGTTTGACCACCATCTACTGAGCTGTAATGCTAACTGTTCCAATATGTTAAGACAAGTGGCTGGAATGCTGGATTGCATTGAGAACAGTGGGATTTGGACCTTTCTGATCATTTTATCATGAGTGGATGTCACTTTTATCATGCCAAGTGTTCCGCTGGTTTGACTAACTCACAGGCATTGTTGCGGGGGTGGATGCTAGCATGTTATTAATTAAGAGATTAAGACACCAGATGCCAAGTTTATAATGACATTACTCGAAACAAAGGTCCATCAAACACATGTTATGTAAAGACCCTTTCTGGCAGATTTCTGCAGTTTGTGATGAAGATTATAGGCAAGATTCCATTGAGAGGAAGGCAGCACCCAATGGCTGGAATCAAACCTAGACGAAGATTGCTGGGTTTCAATTTACCTGACACAACCCTCCCCTTACAAATTCCAATTGCAAAGGTCATTACTTTTAAATTGAAATCTCACAATGTTATAAAATGTTTATATAATAATAATATAAATAATAATAATATAAATATAATATAAGCACACATGAAGTCTATCTCGTAACATACAACAATATAAACTAAACCCAAATATGTAGATTTTAATTTGACATTCGACACAAAAATATGCACACAAATAACAAATTATGCAATATGGAATTCAGACACAGGTTTTGCAAAATTTCGTCCCGCGAAAGCGCAAATCTTACGCTACCTGCAACAAGATGCAAAATCAGAAACGAGACGAGAAATCTTCTGGAAAAACAAGCCATTTCCGCACACTTTTTGCCAAATAAACAACTGCTTTCTTTATCGAATTTGATCTACTGTAGCTTGCCCTATCGAATTTCTGTGGAATTTGTCCCGAGAAAGTCTCGTGATGTCAAAAACTGCAATTTCATTGGCTACACGCCTCGAGTTTCCACGAGAAAGTACTCAATAGTCGAAACTGGACTATGTTTTTCGGATAAACAAGATATATCACAAGAATTCTGAAATATTTAGATCATTTAGTGAATAATACTGGATTTAAAGTCTTTATTCATTGCTGGATTTATTTGTATTGTGTTATAATTAGTAATAACATAAAGGATTTTTTCATTTTTTGTTACCAGTTATATCAAGGGTAGATCATTATATTGGATGGTACAATTAATATAATTATTGGTAATTGGTTGTAAAGTGATTAAATTCATTGATCTGATTGGTTGATTACAACAGCAAGCAAGTATGGCATCACATAATTATCATCGGTTTGAAGCACATTGTTATGAGACAGCATCCAGCTTTCAAACTGTCTGGCATCCTCTCACGCAAGAAACCAACATCAGTAAGGATTGGCCTATAACAGCTAGTGTGGTCACTGGTTGTGAAATTCATCTATGTACCTCTAGTTTTATTTATACTGGATAGCTCTATCAGTTCTGAACTGTTCTTTCCAGAGGTCCAGTAAGGGACGACCCTTATTGATCTGGCGTCAGACAAGTAAAATTATAATAAAATATTCGACTGGAGTCAAGTACTTTATTATTTTACTCAGTCTAATGCCAGACGATTTTAGCAAGATTTTATTAGCTGCCACTCAATGGGTTAATGAGCCATGCGAATGATGAAATAAATCTTATAGGATCCCGGGGGAACTCCCATAAGAATGGGTCAAAATAGGGATATGTTTCCTATAAGATTTCTTATAAAAATTCCTGTAGTAAATTTCCAGTTCCTATAAGATCTATTTTGTATTGGCTCCTCCCTAGCCTATTATTTTTCTGCTTTAGAACAAATGCGGAACATCACAACACGTCATCTCTATTTCCTAAGCAGAATTCTTCAGGATAGCTTGCTCACACGAAGGTTGAACCAAGGCATCGCAGCTCTGATAGGGCTGAGTGGGAGATGTGAAAAAGTTGTAGAATTATTTTGCTTGGTATGTTTCCTGGCCAGTGACTTGTTGGTGTTAGGATGGTCATGCAGGGCTATAGGTTAGGAGTAGAGTTATGATGGGGCTTAGAGTTAGGTTGTTAGGTTAGGTTTATAATATAGGATTACACATTAGTGTAATAGGGTTAAGATCAGATCTCAGTTAGTTCAGCCACAAACCAGAGCACCACATAACCGTTATTATATAGCCTAGTGTATATACTAGAGGTGTGCATCGGATCAGATTGGACATTTATAATCCGACAATTGGCTAATGTTTAAAATCCAGTCCAATCCGGATTTAGGGTTTGGATTAGGATTAAGATTAGGATTAAGATTAGGATTAAGATTAGGATTAAGATTAGGGTTAGGATTAGAGTAAGGGTTCGGATTAAGTTTAACTTACAAAAGAATACAAAATTACAAAAGTCTAAAAATAGTAACTCTTCCTAAAACGTGACAGGTATAAATATTAACTAAAGTTTTTTTGTGGAAGGACATTTTTTAAACATAATTATCCTATTTTATCTGTAGGCTGGTTTGGAGATCTTAAAAAGTATTCCTCACAATCACATGCTAGTGCTGAAGTTCTACAAAAACATGTTTCTTGCGTGTGCCGACCATCAAACAGAAATACTTTTAAATTTTGCTCTCTATCTAGTTCTACGACAACGCAATGTTGTTGAAGCGTTAGAACTCTTGAAATCAAAGTCAAACAAACTTCAGTTTAACCAAAGTCTCATGCACAAAGCTTATATTGGGTTGTTTGAATATTTACTGCATCAACCAACGAAAACTGAACCTACAAGGTTCCAAGGTATATTGCAATTTTTTCCGCAGTGGGAGAAACATTTTTTAAATTTTAAAGTTCTTGTTTTGGATTCACGTAGTATATAACAAATATGGGGCTATTGTTCTACCAGGTTGCCGTGTGGGAGTCGGACAAGAGTTAAATAGCATTATTAGTTTTTAAAGATCTTTTAAAAGATGAAAGTGATAAAGATGATCTTAGAGATTCAGGCAAGCTATATTCCATAATGAAGCTCCACATAACTAAAGAAGCGCTTAAGATAATCCGTTCTAGGTTTAGGGAGAAACAGTTTGCCTTCAGAATCTCCGAGACTATAGTGACTACTCTAGTTACAAACAAATCTTTTAGATACATAGGTGTTAAATTGTTCGTGACTAAGCTAAGGTGATGCCAATGTAAGGCGTATAGCTAATTTTATTAAATTTCTACTCGTTTTTTTTAAACCCAAAAGGTGCGGATACGTATGATTCTGAAGACGAGAATGACAATATGTTCCCTCAAACGTTCCCAACAAAAGGCAACCTGGATTTCTCATTGAAAAGATCGTTCGTGCTATTTGAAGAAGTGTTTTCTAAACCAGGGGTATGGGACCAGTTTGTACCAGTGTATGTTGAGCTACTTCAAAGGAATGGAGGGGAGAGTACAGTTCGAAAATTCTTGGAGGAATATAGAGAAATGAATCCGTTAAACCCGAATTCTCACAGGTGGTGTATAGCTGGCTTTCATTGAGCAGTATCGTGCAGCAGATGCTGGTCAATCTGCAGTTATCAGAGCGAGAAAATCATGTTAGTTCTTTGTAAATTTTCGTTTTAGGTATTTGTACCATTATCTGAAGACAAAGTCAGCAACTGATGAGGAAACGATGAAAGTTTTAGAAGATTTAATAAAACTTGATCCAACGAGCGAATATGTGGAGGACCTCGTTAAACTCAAGGCAAAATCTGGTAGAAATATTTCGTTGATGGTTAATTAACCAGGTGTAATAATATCGATCGATTAATATCGGTTATTAAACTTCTTACAGTATAAGATGTAATTTATGCGTCATTTTCTCCCTCCTACAATCTTGGACAAAACCCTTGAGAGCGTTCCAGCCAATATTGCAAAGAATGCACATCAGTGACAAAACAAACTTTGTCACCCCCTCTCCCTCAGTGCAATGTTGTAAACAACGCCGAAACAAGTTTTGGTAATTTACCATGACGGAAGTTCAACGTTGAGTTGGAGGAGCGGGGGCTTAAGAAGGGCAACATGATTCAACATGGAGTTTATCAAAAGGGGTATGATGTCGTAGACGACGAAAGCTAAGATGATGATGCCGTAGACGACGAAAGCTAAGACCCTTTTTATATATTTTTATATTTTTATAGTTTTTATATTAACATTTGCCGCCTAAGTTAGGCTTTACTTTCGACAGTAGCTTTTGGCCTCACTCGATCGAAAACACATACTGAAGGAGTTAGGAGTGAAGGGTAACTTTGTACGTTTAAAGGGAAGGTAATCTCAACCAGTTATGTCCAAGACTGTAGCACGAAACAATTTGTTTCGTGAAATGAAAGTGTTGAATGTGAACATACTATAGCTTCTTTCTTTCTCAGGAGACAACGTCGTGAGAATGCTCTTTGAGAAACTTGATCATTCAGCATGCATGTATGATGAAAAGACCTGGACTCAACTGAACTCATTCGTAGATACTGGATGCATCATTGAACAGGATTTGAAACACGAACTACAGTTATGTTGGAAAGAGCGAAAGAGTTGGTGGCCAAAATACCACTTTAGGCTGAGAAGACATTTTAAATTTTCTGATGAATTGAAAACGGTTATGTTGTGTAAGGCAAGAGTCGCAGAGTATTTCTTAGGAAAAGGTGAGAAACGTTGGACCTCTAGGGAGAACAGTTTATAGAACTGATATCTCGGTCATCTATAGTATAAATAAAGTTAGTTTACGTACTCCTATCTATTTTAGGGAATGATTTCAGCAAAGAAGTTTATAGCAAATATGGAATTAGCAAAAGTGATGAATGGAATGAAAAGGCCGTGATAAAAGGGCCGTCTGATAAAAGGACGCCATTAAAAAGACGTAGAAAGGCAAGCAATAGCGATACAGAAAGTGAACGAACGAAAAGAAAGCGATAACGACTGTAGAATGATATAGGATGTGTTTTACTGAGCACTATCGTGCAGCAGATGTTGGTCAACCTGCAGTTATCAGAGTGAGAAAATTGAGAGTTTAATTTGCCCCTATACGAACTTCTCTGAAGTTGACGACCATCTGCTGTCCTACAAACTTACTTAAACCGGCAATAACATTACTAATGTGACATTTATTGAAATTAATCTTTCTCGTCAGATTCTACAGACACATCATTAATTTTAGATATAATTTTAACGCCACGAAAGAGTGTTAAAAACCGCAGAGATGTAAACGAAAGACATTGATTGATCAAAAACGTTTTAATTACCATAAACCAACAAGGCTTTCTTTGCGGTTTTAAAACCGAGACGTTGTTTTAGTGAGAATTTTAACTTTTGTTTTTGATCAACAACAAAGTTTGCGAGCGATGAAAAGCTTTGTAAATTCAGTGAACGACGAGTTGTAAACCTCTTAATAAAATTGAGAAGGCCAGAAAACGTTTCTTTTGCTATTTGAAGTGTTATTGATGTCGTTTAGCCCTGGGTTTACGTGTGGCCTTTCGGCCGAGACGAAGGAGAAAGCAAGAGTAGAACTGAACGAAGATCCATTAACACGACACGCGAAAATCCAACTACTTCGCGACAGAATGGTTTTCCGTCCGGATCTCCCGTTTCGTAAAACGGATGAAAAATATCTTCTTCGTTTCCTACGGGCCCGCAAATTCGACGAGGAGCGAGCGTTTCAGTTATTATGCGCTCATATTGAATTTAAAAGAGGCAATCGTGATCTGTTTGATGGTTTGTGCTTAGAAAATCTTCGCCATGTTTTAGAAGAGGGATTCCCTGGTGTTCTTGAGAGCAGGGACTTCAACGGCTCCAGGGTCTTGGTGCTCTTTCCAGGGCGGTGGGCGACAGAGATGTTTAGTTTTAAAGAAATTATAAAAGCATTGGTATTCACGATGGAAGAATTGATAGCCGAAGAAGAGACGCAAGTGAACGGGATTATCGCCATTGTGGATTTTACTGACTGGTCGTTGACGAAGCACGCACGGTATATCAGTATACGAGAGTTGAGGAACGTCATTAAAATATTTCAGGTGGGAAATCTTATACTTTTTTGAAGAGAATTTTTTGCTAAGTATATATAGAGTTGAGGATTTACCATACGAGACATTACGAAGCATATTAATATAGACAATTCCCATTATAGACTAATTTTAAAACTAGGCTAGGAGATGCAATAAGTCGCCACAACTAGAAAGAGCATACTAAAATGAGTAAAATTCCAAAGTTTGATTGCGAAATGTTGTAAAATGCGGAAAATATAGCCTTGCCAATACAAAAGTACACAAAATTTGCAAACTTCACAAGGCTATATTTTCCGCATTTTACAACATTTCGCAACGAAATTAAATAAGTTAAAAGCTAAACACAGGAACAGATAGTCTGGTCAACCCATAAACGCTAAACTCTCTTCTTTGACGAGTCAAACTTAGAAAGAGTAACATGGAAACATATAGGCACATTTCTGCTGATTAATGTCATACACTCTTCCGGAGTGTTTAGCCCATTTTCCACTAGGCGAATTTGTTCGCGCGAAACGAAAAACAAATCTTGGCAATGTGTTGGGTCAGCCTCGAAAAAGTTGGATCAGTTGCTAATTTTTTACTGTTCGCACGAACAAATTCGCCTGGGGGAAAATGGACTTTGGAAGGAATAAGAAGAAGCGCTTTCTCAGTAATGGTTAGATAGAAGTACCTTATTCATCGTTCCTCCTAGGAATGTTTTCCTGCACGTGTCAAAGCCATACATCTCGTGAACCAACCGTGGTACATACACGTCGCTGTGAAAGCTCTCACTCCTTTCTTGAAAACAAAAATTGGAGACAGGGTAAGACAAACACTTACTGGTTTAATTTGGGTTTCCTCCTGTAGTAACACTGGTTCAATAACAGATTATCCTTACTGGACCTCTAGGAAGAACAGTTTAGAACTGATAGAACTATCCTGTATAAATAAAGTTAGTTTAGTTGAGGTTTCCTCCTGTAGTAACACTGGATCAATAACAGATTATCCTTACTGGACCTCTAGGAAGAACAGTTTAGAACTGATAGAGCTATCCAGTATACATAAAGTTAGTTTAGTTTAGGTTTCCTCCTGTAGTAATACTGGATCAATAAGGGATGATCCTTACTGGACTTCTAGGAAGAACAGTTTAGAACTGATAGAGCTATCCAGTATAAATAAAGTCAGTTTAGTTTAGGTTTCCTCCTGTAGTAATACTGGATCAATAAGAGATGATCGTAACTAGACCTCCAGGACGAAAATTTCAGAAATCTCACATGACATAACTTTCTACCATAGCTTCTTCTCCATGGTAACAATCTGACGTCACTACACATGTTCATACACCCAGACCTGCTTCCAGCAGAATTTGGTGGGAACAAACCAGAGTACGACAAGTTGTCATGGTTACGAACTGTGATGGCGAAGAACAGTTTTCAACATACGTGCGCAACTATGGCTGCCGTGGCAGAACAATTAAATGGACATTTGAAAAAAATAGAAAGAGAATCTTAGCGGACGAATTTCATGGAAAAATACTGATTCCATTATTCGTTCAAAAATAGAGAACTTATCAGTACAGACTTTAAAAAACTCGTTAATAATTCACGAAGAAAAGATAAAGGAATTGTGTGTGATAAAAAATCATGTTAATTTACATAAACGTTAGCTTTGATTCTGCATGTTTCGAACTTTGTTGAATTGAAACGTTTATGTTCATTTACAATAGCGAACCAGAAAAGTGTTAGATATTCAGTTATTTAATATGTTTTATTTTAGAAATATAGCAGTTCAAAAGTAAACAAAGGATTTACGAACAAACTTTATAAACAAAGGATTTGTTTACATTACTGACTTGACATGGTCTTTTAACTCTTTTTAAATAAAAGAAGTGTTTACCATGATGCATTGCAAAACTCAAAGGTGGCGGCGGTTTTTGTAAAAAGATCCATAAACAAATGGCAATTGCTAGATAGTATACTTCAAAATAAGATTTCCGTTTTTATATCAATTTTTAAAATAATTAAAATAAGTTAGGGTTAGGTTAGGGTTTAGGTTAGGGTTAGGGTTAGTATTAGGGTTAGGGTGAGGGTTAGTTCGCAACTCCAGTTACAGTAATTATACTGAGATCAGTACTCTAGTTCCCATTCCTGTATAGTCTTCACCTTCGCGCGGTGTTTACGTTTTGGAGTTGTAGTTTATAAAAATATTTGTATTAAATTAACGTAAAATTTGAACAACAAATAATGTCTGCTAGGCAGCGAAAAAAGGAAGCCAAACAGGAAAGACAAAAAGGTAAACAACTATATTTACTTTTAGCTTCAAATGCGAAACGATCGCTCGTTCCAGCTGTGAAAAAAGTGACGCAAATTTTAATATTAAAATTGACCCCCACCTAATTTAAAACGGCTTCGACGTGGCAGATCAATTGTTAAATAATTAAGTGAGAAATTAACACTATTATGCTTCGTTGTTTTCGAAAAATTATCACTGCTATGCAGAGTTATAAATATTGAATACATTGTCTCGGTTTTATCAACAATCGCATACATATTTTGGCTATTTTGTTTGCACAAAATATGTTTGTTTGTATAATTGCATTTGCAAATTAGCGAGACAACACTTGTGTGCTGACATGTATTCTAGTCATTCAATTAGTTTTCGGATTAAAATGATTGTGAACAATCATGAGCTGGATTGTTCATATGATATGAATTTTAAACATTGTTTGTTTGAAATGCACAAATAAAAAGAGAATTTTATTGAATTTTTGAATGGATTAAACAGGTATATTATATATAATTTAAATTATGGACAGAATAGTCTACCATAATATTATTTGAAATGAATATTTATTTTGTATATATATGCACAGGCCCAGGTTCTAAAAAGAAACCAAAGGACTCGGATCAGCTCTGGAAAATAGTTGTTGCTTTCATTGTGATCATTGCAATTGCAACTGCAGCCATATATCTTGTAAGAAGCAAAACTCCACAAACAGTAAACGTGAAAACAGATGAAACAGAACCTAAACGTCCCAAAGAAAAACCAGGAAAGACTAAAACATCTTCAAAAAGTCAAACAAATAAGAAAGCGCAAGATAAACCAAAGGAAAAGGCAACCAAAAAAGCCTCACAAGAGACAATAATAACCAATAGTTACGATAAAACAATTTCTAAAGAGCTAGACGAGGCTGAAAAATTGCTTAAAACAAGAAAACATGAAAAGGCAAAAAGGGCATTTGAGAAGTTGGTTAAAGATCACCCTGCTAGCCCTAGAGCAACGCACGGCCTTGCAAAATCCTTGGACGAGCTCGCTGATGTTATGCGAAGTAATGAAATTCTACAAGAAGCTATAGATACGTATGGAAAGGTTGGCAAGGTTAAAGATTGTCCAATGCCGTTAAAACGCATGGCTGTGTTGAGACAAGCGGAAAGGGTTTCATTTCTTGGCAAGGCGTATATTGCAGTGCATGTTTTAGAAAGTCTAGCAGCAGAATTGCCAGACGATCTGGAAGTTTGGAACAAGCTTGGTGTTCAGTGTCTGTTGAATGGGAATCAAGGTCGAGCAAAGAAAGCTTTTAAACAGGTTGACTATTATAATTAATTATCATCTGTTATAATTTAATAGATGTAAAATACAAGGGCAGTCAATCTAGCACAAAATGCTTACCTCGTGTTTTAATTATCAATCATATATTATGTCATTTCTGTTAGGCCCTGAACATCAATCCAAATGGTGGTTTTGCTCTCGTCCACATGGGTTTTATTATAAAGAGTGAATCCAAGTATGAAGAGGCGATACCTCTGCTACAGAAAGGAATTGCGACAGGTGAACCTGGAGTGGATGACAGCAGATTCTACTTCCATCTTGGGGACGCTTTCTATAGAACAGGAAAACACAAAGAGGTACTATGGGATAGCTCTATCAATTCTACACTGTTCTTCGTAGAGGTTCAGTAAGGATCATCCCTTGTTGATCAGTGTTACTAAAGGAGGAAAACTAAACTAACTTTATTTATGCTGGATAGCTCTATCAGTTCTAAACTGTTCTCCTAAGAGGTCCAGTAAGGATCATCTCTTATTGGTCCAAACCTGGGTCCAAACCTAAACTAACATTAATTAAAAATACTTTATTTCTATCTAGGCGTATGAAGTGTTTGATGAAGGAGCGAAACATGGACATTTCTTGTCCACAATGCAGAGATCAATATACAATGCTCAGGCACCACTGAGAGCAAAGCCATTCTGGGAACCCAAGGAGACACCTTATCACAACTACTTGAAGTATGGATTGCATTTTGAAGTTGTAACACCAGATTACTTTAGGCCAAGTGTAGCCCACATTCAAGAACATGTACTGTCTTTTCTCTGAATGATCAGCTTTAGACAGGCAAAACACACAAGTTCTGTACAACATCAGATCACTTAAGGCCCATATCTAAGAACATGTACTACCTCTGCATTATATAACAATGCTCAACTCCGCAATTAATTAGACTGCACTACACCAAGTTACTTTAAGGTAAATCTCTCACAGCTAGCTCTCATTGCTGTATGATCACCAGTGAGTTATGTACAACTTACATTAGATTACTTTATACATTCAAGAATATATAATAATACCCGAGGGCCGAGCATGAGTTTTGTACAACATTGGATCACTTAAAGCTAGCCAACATTCAAGAATAATACATGCACCTATACTAGGGATGCACCGGAACCGGTTTTTTAAGTTCCGGCCGGAACCGGATCCGACCGGAACTGGAAAAAAGTTCCGGCCGGAAGTTCTGGCCGGAACCGGAACTAATTTATTAAGCCATATATAGTCATATGTTACTTTGTCCGCTGCCAGACAAGCAGACACTTCAAATCATCAAGTAGAGAGTTCGCAAATGTCAGAATAAAAAGACTGACAA